CGCCACTTTCCTTACTAGCCATATTCATTTTCTTCTCATTTGAATGTTGCCCACAAGTGGATGCTTTTGCAAATAATATTTTTTAAAAATTTATAGGCAATGCATTTGCCGTGCTTCCAGCTCATTTGACGTGGGGAGTGGGGACTTTCGGTCACTTTGATTAGTATTGGCATTTGACCGCCACTCTCCTTACTAGCCATATTCATTTTCTTCTCATTTGAATGTTGCCCACAAGTGGATGCTTTTGCAAATAATATTTTTTTTAAATTTATAAATTTTTAGTGAAAAAAATTTATAACTTTATGGTATAGATTAAATGTATATTATATAATATGTCAAATAATTAGATTCACTAATATACAAGTATTATCTTTTAGGTCACATTTAGAGTTCAAGTTTTCAGGTCAGCACTTAAGGATATTAATTTTTTTTTAATACACCAAGCTGAGTGAGTGATGTGCCCTTAAAATTGTTTGAAAAAAGATTAATTTTAAAATAAGCAAAAGCAAATATCTAATTAATTTTACTTCTATAAATGTAAACCATAGTTTTAAAACTAATACTATCTAAATAGTTTTAATTAAAAATTTAATAAAATTAAAGGGATAGAGGATTTAACCAAAATTTTAATTTAAAATTTGATAGGAAGAATCATTTCACATATAATATGATATAATCCACTCTTGTTAAACCCCTTCTTCACCTATTTTAGAGTTTGGAAAAAAAAAAAAAAAAACTTCCAACATAAACGTTCAAATTTCACCAAAAAAAATAATAATCAAATGTTCAACTTCTTAACCCCTTAAACATTTGCTAAAGACGTTGCGTGATTCATCCATGTGTGCACGATTGATTCATGTCAAAATTACCAATAAAAGGTTTCAAAATTGTTAATATCCTGTCCGTACATTATCAAATTATTAGCCCTTTCCTCTCATAAGCTACAAACTTAATGCATTAGGAGGCATTCAGATCAATATGCTCCAACTTGGCTACGTCCTCCATTTCCATTGTAATGCAAAATGTCTAATGACCTGTTTGGGAACTTGAATTTGATTAGGGTGTATTTGAATTAGGAGATGCAAATTTAAATATATTGTTCGTATCTATTTAAATGTAATGTATTTGAATTTATCTAAATACATATATTTGACACATTGTATTTTAAAGTTAAAATTGCATGTATATCAAATACATCCTTTAATTCATAAATTTTAATTCTAAACTTTTGTATTTCATCAAAATAAAAAGTGTTCTTATTAGATAGAAATTCATAAATTTAAAAGGTTTAATTTAACAAGAAATTCAATTTTAAATACAAAACATTTTAATATATCCAAATAATGTATTTAAATATACATGTATTTAAATTTCATTTTTTTTAAATTAATTCAAACAATGTATTTTAAAAGTTAAATGCTAAATTTGGTCCCTCAACTTTAGTGAGTTACACAGTTTTGGTCCCTCAACAATTTTTTACACTTTTTTGATCCCTCAACTCTAAGAAATATGCACTTCGTTAGTTCTTCCGTCAGTTAAGTATGACATGACCATTAAATAATTTCATATGACATTTTCTTTTAAATCTTTTGATGATGTGGCAATAAAATATCTTATAATTATATTGTATAAACAAATAAAATGCCACATGAATATTTATATTTTAACAAAAAATAAAAATAAACAAAAGGACTTTATCACCCTCACCCTCACCTTCTCGATCCATCTTTTTCCCTTCTTTCTTTCTCTCCAACCTCACCAAACCCAGATCCGATCGGGTTGTTTGATTGAGTCGAGGTTGGCAATCCTTCGAAACCGAGAGTGGTTGAGGCTTTGCGTTGGCGATCCTTCGAAACCTAGAGTGGCTGGGGTTGTGCTGGGTTTGACGAACCTAGTCGATTTGGGTTTCAACGAACCTAGCTGTGCTGGGTTCGGTGGAACCCAGACTGGCTAGGTTTGTCTGTTGTTTGTCTAGTTTTATTCTTCTTTCGATTTCAATTTCTATTCCCAGTTCTTGATAAATTTGGGAGTTAATAAATAATTTGATTGCATTTTTGTTAGAATTTGATTAGAGTTTGATTGATATTGTTTATTGAGGGGTTCATTTGATTTTGATGGATTCATCAAACCCAGTAAGTGGCTTCAATGAATCCTAGCAACTGGGTTCAATGACATAGAACCCAAATTTTGTTGGGTTCAATCTCAGCTGGAGCAAAGTGAGGAAGAAGATGGATTAAGAGGGAGATGAGATAATAACATAATTTTATTATTTTTTATTTCATACCAGAATCACAAACATGTTGTAGTAAAGGCAACTCAGCTTTGGCAAATCTCATCTTGAATTCACTCCATTTAGATCTCGTAAAGTTTCATTGAGAAAAGAGAAGAAGAAAATATGAATTAAGATTGATGTTGCAGATAAAGTGGAGATGAAAGAGCAATTTAGGGTTCACAAGAGTTTATCGTGTCTTTATTGGTGCTTTGGCAGGCAATGTGGGGCTCATTTGAATGGATTTTGTGCTTTTGAGTTGCGGGAACATGACATGGCAAAACATTTTGTCCATATCAGCACTTAAATTTTGCTCTTCACATCATCAAAAAAAATATAAAGAATGCCACATTGGCAGAGTTAATGGCCAAAATTGACTGAAGGACTAACTGAGTGCATTTGGTATAGTTTAGAGATAAAAAAAAGTGCAAAAAATTGTTGAGGGATCAAAAATTTTCAACTCACTAAAGTTGAGGGACCAAATTTAGCATTTAACCTATTTTAAATACATGTATTTCGAATAGACATATCAAATACAAATATGCGTTTTCAAACACAACCTTAGAACTTTTATTGTTAGGCAATAATTATTGGATAAAATATAATTGTTAATGGAAAAATGAAAAATTAGAACGTCCTAACATTAAAATTGTTAAGATGTCTAATAATAATTACATGATGAATTTGATAAACTTAGGGCCTACACTATATCCTACATGTTTAATGGTTGTAATTAGATGTCTTGGCATTTTTTATGTCAAAATGTTTTGATTTTTCCTTTTTTCATTTTTAATATAAAAAATTTTAATTTTATTTAATAATTTAAATTGTATAATTTAATACAATACTAACTATGCAATAGTTGCTCAAACTTTTATAAGGTACCAAAGAAATTTCAATTGCGACTCACATATGAGTGTAGTTATGATCATTAATAAAATTATTAGGTTAAACTCTCAATTTGGTCCTTGAACTATTATACAAACCCTAATTTGGTCTCTACTGTTTACTAATTTAACTTTAACTTGGTCATTTCATACAAAATACAGTTGACATGTCTGTTACTTAATGACGAAAAACAGTTACTTAAAGGTCACATGTCATGTTGATAACGAGGGGCACGTCAATTGTTTTTTTTTTTTTTTATGAAAGACCAACTTAAGGCAAATTAATAAATAATAGAAACCAAATCGAAAGTTTGTACAAAAGTTTAGGAACTAAATCAAGGATTTTTTTAGTTTAGGGACCAAATCAGGATTCATACAATAGTTTAGGAATCAGATTGGAGATTTAACCAAATTATTAAGGTAATTAAATTTATATTTAATTTAATTGATATTTATAAATTTTTTAAATAAATAATTATAATATTTAAAAATAAT